GTAGTCAGTAATTACCGATCACTTACTACTTGCCAGAAATATAGTATTTAACTGTGCTACACATCAGAGTCTGTTTTGAAAGACTCTTCCAAAGTGTTCAAAGTGTAGTGGCCAAATATTAAGCCCACCTACATTAATTTAGATTGAAAAAAAAAGTAGTTCTAGCTCAGCCAGTCAACTATGTGTGACTTGGGCTTATTGCTTAATTTTTCTCGTATCTGTTTTGTCATCTATAAAATGAGGGCAATAACTAGATAGTATCAAGATTCTTTTAAGTTCAACAATATTTGGACATTTTTAAATACACAAACTAGAAAGTATGAATGATGGCTCAATGAAGTCAATAGTGCATTTCTGTAATAAGCTCTTTTATTGCAAGATTGCAAGATTCATGGGTAAAAATCAGTGCAACTGATGTCTGTCCAGAGGAGGAGAGTGGACTGCCAATGAGATCATCAGCATTTGGAATCACAAGGTCCAAGGGACATGCAGAATTAGAGTTCAGTCCAGGCAGGTTACATTGGAAGATGATGGGTACAGGGTAGCTTATGTTTCAAGGAGTAGTGTTCTTTAGTGCAAGGTGACTAACAAAGTTATAGTTCACAAGAACTCTTGTGATTGATGCAGATATCAGCTAGTAGTTGGAATGTCATTAGACGCTAGGGGAACTGTAAGAGAAAAATACTGGAAGAATGGTCCAGGCTTGTTATGGAGGGCACTAAGAGGAACAAACAAGGGTAACAGGACCACAGGTCAATGGGCATATTAGTTAGGGGTCAGCAGTTCTAAGCTACAGAAATCATCTCTGATTAACATAAACAGAAAAGCAATGTCATTTAAGAAAATCTGTTAACTGATAGATTGAACTGAAAAGCTGAAAAATCAGGTTTAGAAAAAGGCAGAAAGCAGGTAGTTTTGGGAGGCTAGCAGCAAAAATTGCTCAACAATCTCATTAGTGTTGCTGCCATAGTGAATAAGCTACAGCTGATTTCAGTGATTCTGCACAGGATTCAGACTTGAGAGAGGGAATTTCCAATTGGCTTAACTGGTGTCATGCGAATACCTTTCAGCTAGGAAAGAAGGCATCTTGATTTTTTTAGTATTAAAAAAGACTGTGCACAATGGGGCAAGGACATAGGACACAAAAGGAAATTAAGAGGTTATTTCCAAATGGAGAACTATTATCCACTGTCCTGGTAGCATTCAGGATGAGAATCCAGATTCAATGGGGAACCAGAATGACAATCAAGAGCAAGGGCAAAAAGTCTGGCAGGTGAACGGTGTACAAAGCATTTGTTTGCCTTGGGTGCAGTGATATGAAATCCATTCCTGAGCTCTCTGGTTGGTAGGAAAGAGTCCTCTTAAATATACCACTATGTCTTACTGAATCAAGACCTCTGAAGGGCTGATTGGTTTATAGCAGGTCAGCAAATTAAATTTTCTAATAAAGCATGTTGCACAGTTTCTAGCATGTAGAAATTATGGTTAACATTTATTGATTATCAATCAGCTCTGTTTTTTGTTTGTTTGTTTTGTTATATAATTGGAGTAAACATTCTCTCAGTCTAGTCTCTGGTGTGTTCTTTCTTAGATGTTATCGAGTTGTGAGATAAGGTGCTTGATCAGCTGTGGTGAACTCTACTTCTTGTTCATGGGCCACTGTGGAAGGGAATGAGCCACACATTTTAAAGGCCCGTGGTTACTCCTCTCAGAAGAATTTCCTGACTGGAGTTCTCCAAGAGAGGACGGTCATGACAGGGCCATTCTGGGGCCTGCTTCATATCCTTGACGCAAGTTAGGGCAAAAAGGCACCAAAGGTATAGCCAATACTTGTGGAAGGACCCCTTAAAGACCACAAGGTAAAGTAAGGGAGACTTTTCCTCCCCCCAAACTTTAAAAAATTAGTTTCAAAAGATTTGGATCTCTTTTTATAAAATGAATGTTGAATTTCAGTGTATGTGAGAGAGAAATAAGAACAAATACATCCTTTTCCTTGCTGGTTGAGTGTCTGGCATTTCTAATGCTCCTGAAAACATTCATCATTCATGAAAATGTCTTAGTAGTTATGTCGTTAAAGTTAAAGCAGTGATAGCTCTGTTCATTCATTATGTTGGGGTGCTGTCCTTAGGCAACTTGGAGCTCACAGTAACATGGTGAAGACGCAACATGGTGGAAATAAATTAAACAGAAGAGTTGAGAAGAAACCATCATTTATTAATTAATTATTTATTATCATACCATATTCCAGAAGGATTTAAAGAAGGTAGAATTTCATCTCTAGGTCTGAGAAATAGAACAATATATTTATAACTAAGCTATATTTGCCTTACCTATAAAAACAGATCTCTAGGAAAAAGATGAACATTCTGATATTATTCGGGGGTGCCCACTTAAGAGTAAAGTAACATCATATCTGCATCTCTCTGCATTTTCATCATTCTATACCAGGACTGAACAGAAAGCTATAATTAATTTATAGCTCATAAAGTTGGATTATAATAACTTTTTTAAAAATGCCACCAATAGGGAGTAATTTTAGTGAAGCAACTAAAAAATGAATGTAAAGATGCTAATTATTTAAAGTGTTATTAAGGTTGACAGATACTTTTTAACTTTGTTACTCATTTATTTTTTTAAAAGCTTTATTTTTAAAGAGAGGGGGGAGGGGTGGAGGGAGAGGGAGAGAAAGAATCTCAAGCAGACTCTCTGCTGAGAGTGGAGCCCCACATGGGGCTCGATCGCATGACCCTGAGATCATGACTTGAGCTAAAACCAAGAGTGGGACACTTAACCGACTAAGCCACCCAGGTGTCCCAAATTTGTTACTCCTTTTAAATGAATCAGGAATAACTAAATATCCCCAAATCCTACTTTGGAATTTTAAGGCACATTGAGAGAAAGCTAAAAAAAATTCAGTTAAGTAATGTGGGTTGATTGAATTTCTACTTTCTCAATGCTTTTATATGTATTAAGCCCTTCTGTTCAGTAAAAACCATGATTATAGCAGTGGTTCCCAAACATTAGTGGGTATCGGAATCACTAAAAGAACTTGATAAAACAGATTTCTGGACTCCACCTGACCCTTTCTGATTCTGAAGTAGATCTGGAATGGGGCCCAAGAATTTGTATTTCTAACGGATTTGAGTTTTGCTGATGATGCTGGCCTGGGGACAGTGTTTGAGAACCACTGCTTTACATTATATATCAGAGACAAATGAAGTTAATGTTATCTGTAAATCTTGATGCCCCTGTGGATTGGCTATGGAACATTTAGTACTACTGACTGAGAAACAGCAAAAGTTCCCTAACCTGTAAGCAGCTACAACAAAAATTAGATTAAAATATAAAAAAAATTATAAATTCAGAGTATATATCCATGAATTATGAAATTATTTCAATGCCTTGAATGTTAAACTTGTATTATCTTTATACAAGCTTTGTTCCCCATAATAATAGATTCTTAAAACTAGTTAAAGGACTTTCATATTAAAGGAAAAACAAAAAAGAGGCTGAGGTCATTTCCTATGTGTCAATCAGACCCCATAATATTTAGGCAGTTTTTAAAAGAGCAGCCTGTTCATTAACCGGATGAATTTAGTGCTGTCCAATTCTATAAATAATTTAAGAAGAATGAATTGGCTTTCAATAATAAAAATCCTTTCTTCTTTTTTTTCAAAATTAGGTAAATGTTATCACTCTAATTATCCCCTTCAGCAAATACAAGCTATTGATGTTGTTGGGTCATTATAGTGACCACAAAAACAAAGTTCTGCTTTATACATTTGATAAAAGCTAAAACTTACTATGTTTATTTTTCATATATGCAAATAACTGGTTTGTGCACAGTTGGTGCTTAATATTTGATGAATAAACAAAACCAAGTTATCATAAGCCAGAGCCATCAATATTTTAAAAAAATCTACAAATTCACATAAAAATCTGGAAACATAAATGCCTTTTTTTCCATGCCACCCTCGGATAACTGCTCTTATCTACAGGACGCGCACAAGTACGATGGAAAAGTACAAGTTTGTAAAAGAATTGCATTAAGTACCACCAATATCTATTTTTAGATCCAAGGATAAAACAGATTTGTTTTCTCTTCCCACCGGGCTGAGCACTGCAGCCTGATAGTTCACCTACCCCCTCTTTAAAGAGAGCTTTGTACTTTTTAGAACTTAATTGTTCAAAGAGGATCGGTCATTTACCTAAAGAGTCTTTACTACAGTAAAATGCTACAGTGTAGAAAAGAACAAATATGCTGTTGTTCTGAGATGGTGGTAGATAGGAGAGCTACTCTGCAGGGGCTGAAGAATCCAAAATAAGCTAATAGCTGCTATGGTATAAGATTTGTAGTTGAGGGCATATAAAGCTTTGGTGATAATTCCCAAGAAGTGGTATTTATGAAACTTTCATGAAGTGCTAGCAATGTTTTAATGAAGACGGAGTGTAGCAGATTAATGAGGAATGTGGACTTCGAAGACAGAATTCCTGGGGGTGAAACCTAAGTCTTCCACTTCTTGGTGGTGTGATACTGGGCGAGCTGTTGAACATTCCTTTGCCTGAGTTCCTCATCTCTAAAATGGACGTAATAATGTTACTTACCACATAGGGTTGTTGGGAGAATTAAATGAGTAAATACATGTAAAGGCTTAGCCTGGCGTCTATTATACCTACTATATGAATGTTTGCACTTACTATCATTTTTATCATTTATCATTTCTTCCATTTTTAGTATTGCCTCGTGGTCCTCTTTATTTCCCATCCTATTCTAAAATCAATTTCAGCACTGCCTAATTTCTACTGTCTCCATTAGTCTTACACCCTGAATTTTAATTGAGAAGTTAGACATTAATCAAATCTTAATTGCTACATTTTTAAATCATCTTAATTCTAGTTTAAATCATTCATTCATTCTCTATCTTATACCACTTTTTTGAAACAGAGATATAAATGTCTCATTTTATCTCCTTATTCACCAGCAGTTTTAGACCTCAATACTAAATGTACTGCACAGTTAACACTGTTAGAGACTGAAACACTGAAACAAATTTTCCTGGCTTGAAGACTTCCACAACTTTCCTGATCAGGTCATCATAGGAGGTCTGACTTAAGTTTGTTTTAAAGCTAACATAAGAAAATTCTGGTTCTGGAGTGATGTGAATAGTCCAATAAGTTCCATCCGATTTCATTCCATTCATCGAATACCCACAAGGATTGAAAAGTGTGGCATCAATGACAGAACCTGGTATCAGGTCACGAATTCCACTCTCACGAGTGACATCCTTTGCAGTAACACCATCTTTCATGTAGAACTGGTCCATAACTGCTGGGTCAAGCTCACTCATCAGAATTTCCAGGGTTTGATCTGGCTGACTGATTACCCGAGTCTCTGGGAAATCCAAAGTATACAAGTACCAACAGTCAGAATTCATACGTCCCATACAATATGCTGCTCCATTTGGGAAAATTGCATTAAGAAACTCTATTTCTTCCTGGAAATTCCGGTGTGGGTACCCTTGGTGAGAAGGCTTCATGAAATTCTTACAAGAATAAAAGAAGCTTTGAATCGAATCAAACCCACTGTAATCCCTAGCAAGTTTCAACAGGGGAACCAGTGCTTTCAGCAAGAGGGTGGTACCACATGTCTTCAAAATGAAACGTCTCTTGGAGACAAACATGAAGGGTTAAGCATCCTATAATTGATTAAATTTAAGTGTTTACAAAAAATAATATCAAATGAAAATATGTATCTCCATTTTGTACATTAATGATGATCCCACCATCTTGTCTGTTCCTCTAAAATAAATACATTTTCTAGGCTAATTTTCAGACCATGAAGCTTTAAAGACTATTAGAATTAAGAAATCTGTTCTAGTTACAAAAGTCTTCTTAGGATCATTATGTTGGCTGGCTGCAATGGGAAAGGGGCCACTGCTGTGTCTTATGTATTTACCAACCTTGTCTAATCATTAAGAGTGAGGATGGGGAGATGTCATGGGTAGTGGATTTTGTGTGGTGTCATCAACTATACAAATCCCGGGAATCAAATATTAGAAAAATTCCTCCTAATTCAGGAACTGGAATACCCTTCTTGTGTTCAACTGGTGTGTGTGGTAAAGTAAATTATTTGCCCCAATTCTCCATCCTCTCCTGTATCCATGCCCTTTGCCATGGAACTTTGCAGGTTCTCCCGCTCTGGGTAGAAGGTATTTCCCTGCCTCTTTTCTCTGTGCTTGACCATTTGATGTACTTCAGCTAATGCACGTGGACAGACAATCACAGTGTAACGCTTCTCAGCCTAGCCCTTTTCCTCTTGCCAATCTGCCATTGCCACAGAAGAGCTTGAGTAGCTGCTCTGAGTAGCTGCTTCCCTCTGAACCTGGGCCCCAGAATAAGCACAAGTGGAAGAGACCAAAGCCAATTTGTAATAAAGAGCCTAGCTCAGTGGGATCTGCAACCTGAGCAGAGCTTTCCAACAGAATCCAGTTCAAATGAGCCAATCCCGCAAGTGACTGACCCACAGGCATTCGAGAAATATTTATTGTTGTATGCCACTGAGATTTTGTAGTAGTTTGTTACATAACAATAGGTGACTGATACATACATTGAGTTTTATAAAAAAGGCTTTCTTTTCTACAAAGCAGAAATAATTCCAAAAATAATTGTGACAGATGATGATATGATTTTATATACATTTTTTTTAAATACCAATGGCATTTAGGAATGGTAATTAACTTATGAAACAATATCACACATTAAATAATAAAGTAAATTTGTATTTGTTGTGTCCTAAATTGCACTATAGGAAAGTACATAATGTGTACTCATTAAGCTACTTGGTTATGAATTTAATAATTGAAATAAAGTCAATGAAACTGTGTAACTGGAAAATTCAACTAATACGTTTAATAAGTATAAATATACTTTCAATAAGTATATTTCTGGGCAGATGTTAGATTTGTAAAAATATCCTTAATGATATAATTATACATGACTTAACTACATTTTAACAATAACTGGAATATTATACATAATAAACAGAATCAAAACAAACACTTGAAAAACAAACATTTTAAACAATGAATTATTACTTTCAAAGGACTTAACAAATAATTTGATTTTATGAAATTGAGGGCCATTCAGTTTATAAATGTTAAAGAATCATCCTCTAAGATGATAGACAATGATGTAAATGAAACTATGTAAGAACAAAGTTTTAAAAATCTCATTTATAACCACTTAAAGACTGTTTTGATAAAACAACAAAACTTTTAAGATCTCTTCTGTTGCCTTTTACTATCTATTACGTGTAAATCTTTTAAAATGTAAGTACTGTTTATCAGATAGACAATTAATGGTCCGTTATAGAGAATAATAGAGCTAGACTATACTGAGTAACATATTGTAAAATACAGTTACACGGAAATAAGAAGGACATTCTCAAGTGAAACTGGCTGATTTTAGTATAGAAATATGACTCATAATCTTTTATATACAATTTAAAACTACTGAATTAATGATTATATTGAGATCCATTTAAAATGCTCATTTAAAAAATATTCTTGAAAATCTTTTAAGCAGAAGATCTTCATACTTCAGTATGCTTCTGACATCTAGTAAATTGCTAAGGATGTGAGTTACTTTCAACAGTTTCTACTGAGTTCAAGAGAATGCCCAGTCTCCATAAATAAAAAGTGAATAAAGGAAACGCATCAGAGAGTTGGAAAATAGTTTCATCATGCTTTTGAAGAAATTTCTTGATTTCTTGATCATCATGCCCTACACTTGAAGTGTTGCCTTCTTTGGTTTCCTTTTGAAGAAGCTGCTCCAGAACCCAGAACAGGGAGAAAATATTTTCATACTGTGTCACATAACCGGCTTGAACCTACAAATAAAAAACAAACTTCTTTAAAACACATATTGGTTGTAGCTCAGCTCAGAAAAAGCCAAATAAAGATATTAAATTTTCAGACAAAAAGTAAATTCTTGATATATTTAACACTTTCTATCTTCCTGTTCCTTTAATTGGGATGGAGGGAGAACAAAGGAGAACATTTCCTTTCTTTCAAAAACTTTACAGTTTTGGTGAATGACTTTTTCCTCTTGATGGTTTATAAAGCTCAAAATCCTTTCTCTGTACTACTGCTAAAATTCATTACTCAGATGAATCTGAGAATACTTGACAATGTCTTGTGTGTTGAATTCAGTGTTGTGGTAAAGACTTTCAGTGCATGACACTGCCAATGATAACATAAAGATCTTGGGGGTAGGGTTTTAAGAATGTTTCTTTTTTTTTTTAAGATCTTATTAATTTGAGAGAGAGCACACACAAGCAGGGGGAGAGGCAGAGGGAGAAGCAGGCTTCCCACCAAGCAGGGAGCCGGATGTGGGACTCGATCCCAGGACCCCAGGATCATGACCTGAGCTGAAGGCAGACGCTTAACGACTGAGCCACCCAGGCGGCCTAAGAATGTGTTATGACTCAGTATAGAGTAACTCAGTATAACTCAGTCTTAGAACAGTTATGATCTCTAAGAGACCAGATATGATCTCATTCTGAGTCTACACAAATCAAGGAGGAACAGGATAGATTATGTGGAATCACATACATGGTCATGAGGAAAAATACAGATGTGTCTTGAGAAGTTATTGTTTGGCTCTAGATGACTGAAAGTGAGATGAATCAAGTAAGGCCTAAAAAGTGGACAATGGAAAGCATAATCTGAGGGGATACAGGAATCAGTTTAAAGATATAAACTGGGGGCACCTGGGTGGCTCAGATGGTTGGGCGTCTGTCTTCGGCTCAGGTCATGATCTTGGGGTCCTGGGATCGAGCCCTGCATTGGGCTCCCAGCTTGGCAGAGTCTGCTTCTCCCTCTCTCTCTGCCTCTCCCTCTGCTTGTGTTCTCTCTGTCTCTCTCTCTCAAATGAATAAATAAAATCTTTAAAAAAAAATAAAGATATAAACTGGCTTTATCATTTGCTTATTAAGACATGTGTTGGAAACAGTCCCCAAATCTATCCACTCTAATAATACATAAATAAAAAGAAACATTCTTTTAGAGCCCAGAGGAATGTACTCCATAACAAGGTGGTCTTATAAACAGTTAAATATATACTTTCTTCTTACTGAGATATAATTGACATAACATATTAGCTTCAGGTATCACATAATGATTGGATATTTATATACATTACAAAATGATCACCATAGTAAGTCCAGTTAACATCTATCACCATATAGTTACCAAATTCTTTTTTTTTTGTGACGAGGACTTTCAAGATCCACTCTCCTAGCTACTTCCAAATATTCAATACAGTGTTTAGTTAATATAGTTATTAACTATAGTCTCCATGCTGTACACTAGATCCCTGTGACTTAAATACATTTTATAACTAGAAATTTGTACCTTTCCATTCCCTTCACCCATTTCAGCACCCCCTAACCCCCACCTCAGGCAACTAGCAGTCTGCTCTCTATATTCATGAGCTTGGTTTTGTTTTTGTTTTTTTAATTTTATTTTATTATGTTATGTTAATCACCATACATTACATCATTAGTTTTTGATGTAGTGTTCCATGATTCATTGTTTGTGTATAACACCCAGTGCTCCATTCAATATCCCACATATAACTGCATTATATGGTATTTATTTATTTTTTTCTGTCTGGCTTGTATCATTTACCATATTGCCCTCAAGGTCTATACATGTTACAAATGGCAAGATTTAATTCTTCTTTTATGGCTAAATAATAATCCATTGTATGTATGTGTATGTGCACACACACATATATAAATATGTATGCATTTATGTATATACATACACACACACACACACAAACACACACACCATACCTTCTTTATCCATTCATCCATCAGTGAACATTTAGCTTCCTTCCATGTCTTGGCAAGTATAAATAATGCTGCAATGAACATGGATAATACATATATACTTCTGAATTAGTGTTTTCTTTTTCTTTGCATAAATACCCCAAAGTGGAATTTCTGGATCATATGGTAATTTTATTTTTAATTTTTTGATGAATCTCCATAGTATTTTCCATAATGGCTACACCAATTGACATCCCCACTGATAGTGGGAACACAAGGGTTCCCTCTTTTCCACATTCTGACCAACATTTATTATTTCTCTCTTTTCGATAATAGCATTCTGACAGCTGTGAGGAGATACCTCATTGTGGATTTGATTTGCATTTCCTTGATGATTAGTTATGTTGAGCATCTTTCTATGTACCTGTTAGCCATGTCTTCCTTGGAAAAAATGTCTATTCAGATCCTCTGCCCATTTTGTAATTGGACTGTGTTTTTGCTGTTGAGTTGTAGAAGTTCTTTATATATTTTGGATATTAAGCTTTTATTTAGTATTTGATTTGCAAGTATTTTCTCCCATTCAGTGGGCTGCCTTTTATTTTGTTGATGGTTTCCTTTGTTGTGCAGAGGCTTTTTAGTTTGATGTAGTGCCAATTGTTTCTTTTTACTTTTTTTTTTCCCTTTGCTTTAGGTGTCAAATCCAAAAACTAATTTCCAAGACCAATGTCAAGGAGCTTGCTACCTATGTTTTCTTCTAGGAGTTTTATGGTCTCAGATATTAAATTCAAGTCTTTAATCCATTTTTATTTTTTTGTATGATATTAAATAGTGGTTCAGTTTCATTCT